TAAGTAAATTTTTTCTCACTCACTTCCAAACCTGGTGTGGTTGACAGAGTCTAGTATAGCTGATAAGTAAATTTTTTCTCACTCACTTCCAAACCTGGTGTGGTTGACAGAGTCTAGTATAGCTGGTAAGTAAATGTTTTCTCACTCACTTCCAGACCTGGTGTGGTTGACAGAGCCTAGTATAGCTGGTAAATAAATTTTTTCTCACTCACTCACTTCCAGACCTGGTGTAGTTGACAGAACCTAGTAAAGCTGGTAAGTAAATGTTTTCTCACTCACTTCCAGACCTGATGTGGTTGACAGAGCCTAGTATAGCTGGTAAGTAAATTTTTTCTCACTCACTTCCAAACCTGGTGTGGTTGACAGAGTCTAGTATAGCTGATAAGTAAATTTTTTCTCACTCACTTCCAAACCTGGTGTGGTTGACAGAGTCTAGTATAGCTGATAAGTAAATTTTTTCTCACTCACTTCTTAGCTATACTAGGTTCTGTCAACCACACCAGGTCTGGGCTATCTGTGCTCTGCCCGCTACGGGTATCGAAACCCGAATTCTAACGTTGTAAGTCCGCAGACATACCGCTGTGCCACTGGGAGGCAGGAAGTGAGTGAGAAAACATTTACTTACTAGTTATACTAGGTTCTGTCAACCCCACCAGGTCTGGTAACATTTACTTACCCCAGGTCTGGAAGTGAGTGAGAAAACATTTACTTACCAGCTATAATAGGTTCGGTCAACCACAGCAGGTCTGGAAGTGAGTGGGAAAACATTTACTTACCAGCTATACTAGGTTCTGTCAACCACACCAGGTCTGGAAGTGAGTATTTTGTTTGTTTGTAATTAAGCACAAAGCTACACATTCCAGCTATAGTAGGTTCTGTCAACCACACCAGGTCTGGAAGTGAGTATTTTGTTTGTTTGTAATTAAGCACAAAGCTACACATTGGGATATCTGTGCTTTGCCCACTACGGGTATCGAAACCCGGATTCTAACGTTGTAAGTCCGCAGACATACCGCTGTGCCACTGGGGGGCAGGAAGTGAGTGAGAAAACATTTACTTACTAGTTATACAAGGTTCTGTCAACCCCACCAGGTCTGGTAACATTTACTTACCAGATATACTAGGTTCTGTCAACCCCACCAGGTCTGGTAACATTTACTTACCAGCTATACTAGGTTCTGTCAACTACACCAGGTCTAGAAGTAAGTGAGTGAGAAAACATTTACTTACCAGCTATACTAGGTTATTTCAACCACACCAGGTCTAGAAGTGAGTGAGAAAAATTTTACTTACCAGCTATACTAGGCTCTGTCAACCACATAAGTAAATGATTTCTCACTCACTTCCATACCTGGTGTGGTTGACAGAACCCAGTATAGCTGGCAAGTAAATGTTTTCCCACTCACTTCCAGACCTAGTGGGGTTGACAGAGTCTAGTATAGCTGATAAGTAAATGATTTCTCACTCACTTCCTGCCCCCCCAGTGGCACAGCGGTATGTCTGCGGGCTTACAACGTTAGAATCCGGGTTTCGATACCCGTAGTGGGCAGAGCACAGATAGACCAATGTGTAGCTTTGTGCTTAATTACAAACAAACAAAATACTCACTTCCAGACCTGGTGTGGTTGACGGAACCTAGTATAGCTGGTAAGTAAATGATTTCTCACTCACTTCCATACCTGGTGTGGTTGACAGAACCTGGTATAGCTGGTAAGTAAATGTTTTCTCACTCACTTCCAGACCTGCTGTGTTTGACAGAACCTAGTATAGCTAGTAAGTAAATGATTTCTCACTCACTTCCAGACCTGGTGTGGTTGACGGAACCTAGTATAGCTGGTAAGTAAATGTTTTCTCACTCACTTCCAGACCTGCTGTGTTTGACAGAACCTAGTATAGCTAGTAAGTAAATGATTTCTCACTCACTTCCAGACCTGGTGTGGTAGACGGAACCTAGTATAGCTGGTAAGTAAATGTTTTCTCACTCACTTCCAGAACTGCTGTGGTTGACAGAACCTAGTATAGCTGATAAGTAAATGTTTTCTCACTCACTTTCAGACCTGGTGTGGTTGACAGAGCCTAGTATAGCTGGTAAATAAATTTTTTCTCACTCACTCACTTCCAGACCTGGTGTAGTTGACAGAACCTAGTAAAGCTGGTAAGTAAATGTTTTCTCACTCACTTCCAGACCTGGTGTAGTTGACAGAACCTAGTAAAGCTAGTAAGTAAATATTTTGTCACTCACTTCCAGACCTGGTGGGGTTGAAAGAACTTAGTATAGCTGGTAAGTAAATGTTAACTCTTCGTTAAAAATCCCTTATTTGTTTTTGCCCTGTAGCATCAGAGAGTCATGAAAACTGACACTATGGTGAACAAGCTGTAGGTTCATTTTGATGTTAGGTGCATAGTGTCCATATAGGCTAATACAGAGTTTCTCAAAGTGTGGGTACCCCCACATCCCCAGAGAAGCATAAATGATCTGTTGAGGAGTACAAGCAATTAGGGTATTCAGTTGTGCAATAATGCATAATTAGGCATTTTAATATATTTGTTATTAATGAAAATAATAAGTAATTACTACAACACACATAAAATTTTAATGTGTATCTGTGTATTATATCTAATCACTTAACTCTTTTCTTTCACTCATTTAAAAAACAGAAGGGGAGCACACGAGAAATCATATTTATTATGTGGAGAGGAATGACAAAATGTTTGGGAAATGCCGGGCTAGTATACCTGCATATACAGAAATTTTTGAAAATCAAAAGTGAGAGAGAGCAAGAATTATGTAAATTACATTCAACTTATATTGTAAAAGTTCTTGGGTCTACACACATTATTAGGCCAAACTTGTTAAGTTACCTCAAAATGACACAGGTGTTGTATTGTTTGTTAAATTACATTATTTATAAAAAAAGCCACTGGATGAAATGGTTTGTAACTTCTGAATTTCTTTGTAGCTATTTAGCTTCTGCAAATAAAATGTTTTGATATTTAAATGAGTTTACAGCTTTGAAATATAGAAAAGATTTTATTATGATACATTTTAATTTCTTCCTACACTTTTAAAATTTTACTATAAAAAGTAATATTTCACAAAACTAAATTTTTAGCTTTGATTTGAAGAACAACAGTTTCACAGTTTTTCAATCACTGGAATACAATAAAAAAAAATTCAAATTTTAAGCAAACCAAATTTTTTAAGATTTTTAGTCTAAAGTTTTCATTTAGTACATGTAATAACTTTAAATTCACTTTATATTCATTTATATGTAATTTTTTATGTTTCTTTTTGGCAATTTTATTTACCCATTAAAGCAGTTACCCAAGCTGATATGGCCTAATACAAACAAGGCCTAACACAGTGGCATCATCAGGAATACAAAACTTTATACAGTTGAGTACTTTAACTAAGCCTACCTCATCTTCTTGCACAAAATTTTTTTTTTACTTTCATACTGTAACATACATGTAACATAATAATCCAAATGAAGTATAAAAGGATAAAGCAAGCTTTAAAAAAATCAGTACTGCAAGCTTTTTTTTACCTTTTTTCAATCTCCATATGAATCTCCACTGAACTGAAAGCCTTTTTGGCTTTTATAGCTGAAAATAATGGAGAGTTTTTGTGACATGCTTAAATCAGTAACATATGACTTTTTGAAACATTGCAACAAGACAACCAAGGTTGAGAAACAGTGTTTAAACTATAGGCTTGATGTGACCTTCATAGCAAAAAGTTCAGGGGTATTACGGTCTGGAAAGTTTGACCCAGAGTAATGTGACCAGTCCAATACTTTGGTTGCTTATTATCTAATGTTTCACAAATGCAAAAATATAGATTGTGGTAGTACTCCATCTTGCATGTGTTTCTTTCATTCACTGGACCCATATACCTGAAAAACATTTTCTTCCTAAAGTTGAAAACTGAATGTCATCTTTCATAATAAAGGGAAGGTATATCTTTTACTTTGATATGACAGATCAAACATTGCTCTTCTGCAAGTTTGGTATAAATCCTGATTGACTTTGTGTTGTTTTTATCTTCCTAAATTGGACAGTTATATCTTTTGACTGACCCATGCAGCTGGAATTTTGTCTCATCGTCTGTGAAGATGCAGATGAGGAACATACTCTCATGATGTATCCAGTCGATATACATGTTAATCATCATGAGTTTAGCCCCATACTTGTCTTGAGAAGCTTCTGCACTTCTGAGTTTTGTTCATGTGAAGGTTCAGATGTGTTTAAAAATCTATTATTGTTTTGGCTTTTGGTGAGTTATATTCAACAAAGTCTATTGTAAATGCTTTCCTAGGCTATGTTGAAAAGCTCCACAATCTTTTCACCTAATGCATGTCATCCAAAGATCTTGTCGCATTGAACTGTGTATGCCATCTCTTAAATGCATTGTTTAATAGTACTATACATGAAAGGCACATCAAAATTATAAGGTACATTTTTACGTTGCCAAGCTACACTTTTTTATAAAAGGTTTTGTAAAATGTTTAGCTACCTTACTAAAGTGGTGTTACTACCATACTAAAGTGGTGTTACTACCATACTAAAGTGGTGTTACTACCATACTAAAGTGGTGTTACTACCATACTAAAGTGGTGTTACTACCGTACTAAAGTGGTGTTACTACCGTACTAAAGTGGTGTTACTACTGTACTAAAGTGGTGTTATTACCATACTAAAGTGGTGTTACTACTGTACTAAAGTGGTGTTATTACCATACTAAAGTGGTGTTATTTTACCATACTAAAGTGGTATTACTACCATACTAAAGTGGTATTACTACCATACTAAAGTGGTGTTGCTACCATACTAAAGTGGTGTTGCTACCATACTAAAGTGGTGTTATTACCATACTAAAGTGGTGTTACTACCTTACTAAAGTGGTGTTACTACCTTACTAAAGTGGTGTTACTACCACATTAAAGTGGTGTTACTACCATACTAAAGTGGTGTTACTACCATACTAAAGTTGTGTTACTACCATACTAAAGTGGCATTACTACCATACTAAAATGGCATTACTACCATACTAAAGTTGTGTTGCTACCATACTAAAGTGTTGTTACTATTTCATACTTTTTGTCCATATATTTTCACAGAATATCATGAGAGTGATTTTGTTGCAGCTGTATTCTATTAGGCTTATCTCAAATACTGCATGTAATGAGTAGCCATGTAAGCAGAATACGGGAATGGTTTGAAAACTGTGGTAAGGCATCTACAATTGTTTGGTATTTTTTGCAAACTTTTAACTGTATGGATATATAAATTATAAGAGTGCCATGTGGATGGAGAAATACACAATTGGCTATTAATTCACTAAGGACAATGTTTTCTTATGTTTTACAAATGTTTGATATATAATATGTTGACACAAATTTGACACTTCTTTTTTGCTTCATTATTAAACATTTTTCCAGATCTGTTTTAGATTAAATTATGGGGGACAGTTATGAAAAGCATTTTTGACAATGTCATACTTGGTTAAAAAGAGAAAAAAAAAGAGGTTGAATAATGAATTACTAGGCTTACTATTAATGATAGAAATCATACAAGACTGCAAGTGTTTATTGTTATAATTCTAGGTGTTGGAGCAAACCTCAAGCTGGGGGAGCTGAAGTGCCCCCCCCCCCCAATAGGAATACCATTGAAGGATGTTTTTAGGTCATTCTATAAGATCCTTTTATCAAGCTCTGACACACTAAATGTTAAGCTCTTTACATTTTCTAATTGTAAGAATTAATATACAGAAATACGTATAAGAGAGTTAGAGTTAGTTTTATATGATTTAAGTAAAACAAATTGTACATTTCACATCAGTGTTGTTTTGTATGACTAAATCTAGAATTATATTTGAACTAGATATTCTTCTAGCCAAGTTGAGTGTCTTAAGTTGAAATTTGTTTTCTGTGAGTTAGGTCTCGTGGCAGGTCTTAACCAAGCTTTAGACGATCGAGAAGCTGGTAAAATTGTACCACCATGGGTAGCCCATCAGCAAATTAAAGAGGCATACCAGTGGAAGGATATTGCATCTCGTACTGAAGTAGTGTACAACAGAATCGTACAAGATCCCGTGCATAGTCTTGGTACTAAACTTAGCTGGTATGTGTTCCTTCTAATAGGAAGTATTCTCCATATTTCTAGAGAGTACAGCTCAGACATGTCCAGTTTCGAAATGTTAGAAGTAAATAAGTATGTCAAATAATTTTATGAATTTTACTTAACATTTTTCAGTAGCTTTAGTATTATGCAAACAACTTCCTCTCTGTGTTTACACAATTGTTATTTGTACTATGCAATGTGATACTATCATGCTAAACATTACTACAGTACTGGTTATGACTATTGGAGAGCTACCAAGTGAATAAATTGTCAGTTTTATACTGTATCCCACTGTCTACAATTTTAGGTAGTGGTTGCTTTAAATGTAAAGTCCTACCACTTTATGTTTTATAACCAGCCAGCCATTATTGTTGAAGAGGTTTGAAATAAATGATTCAGCAGAGTACATTTTATTCATATTTCCTCATCTAATGATTGAATACGTAGAGAGTTACAAGCAGCTCATGTACCAGTTGAATAGTAAACAGTTACAAGGAACTCATGTACCAGTTGAATAGTAAACGGTTACAAGGAACTCATGTACCAGTTGAATAGTAAACGGTTACAAAGAACTCATGTACCAGTTGAATAGTAAACGGTTACAAGGAACTCATGTACCAGTTGAATCGTAAACAGTTACAAGGAACTCATGTAACAGTTTAATAATATAGAGATGTAAGAGACTCCTGTCTTATTATTGTGGTAGTGACAAAGATATTGTTGGTTAGAAGTGTATGAAATATGCATTTGTTAGTTTAATATGTAGTTTAACTGTTTTTGTTTTAATACTTAAGTTGCTTTCAACTATTTTATATCAAAACACACCAGGTAATGTATATTTCCATAAGTTCGAGACTAATTGTTTAGTAGAACAAACTTATAAGGTTTTATATAATCGGGAAAACTGTTTCTATTTTATTATTTTTTTACTACTGCATCTGAAGTACTTAAGTTTATTTGTTATAAAACCATCATTTGTTCCCTCCTCCTCAGGTATCGACAAATTGGTACAGTTGGAGGACTTTTCTTTGCTCTACTTCTTGTTGTGGAACATTTATTGTTTTTGTTATCTCAGTGGTTTAAACCAGAAGAGGTAAACACCCTTGTTGCTATGTTCATGTATTAGAACATCTCTTCTTTTTTTTTATTCTAGACTCTTTAGTCCATTGCATTTGTTGAGTTTACTAGTAAGACAATACTTACAGTACCATGTTGTGTGTGAAATTTATAAAGAATATCTAAGTATATACATATATATATAAAGTATGCACCTATTATGACAGACACGAAAATAATGTTAAAATATTGTGCAAAGAAATCTTTAAAAAAAAAAGGCAAATATGGTCATGGGGTACTTAGAAAAACATGCACATAACATAAGGAAACATGTTGCATTTATGCCATATTTTTTATATATTAATTTTCCATTTTCGTTCAACTCTTTTGGCATAGGAACAACTTTTGTTTTTAAATCTACTTTTATTATTACTTCTTCATATGGTACGTTACATCAAAATATGATTTTGTTTAGTATTAACAATATATCTTACAAGTCAGTATTTCGTACTGTGCTGTCTACCAGTTAGTTTAATTATGCCTCTGCTTGTAACTTTGTTTCAGTAATGAATCACAGAGATGATATACACCTAATTTATAAAGTTGTGACAAACAAACGGCATTGGTAGTGATGTGAAAATAAAGAGATATTCTAAATGAGCTGTACAGAGAGTGGATAAGAAAAAGTGTTGTTCCTGGACAGTACTTTTTGTGGATTACATATAACTGCTATCTGAACTGTGGAATAAGTTTATCAGAAAGGTACTTTGTAATCACCATGTTGAAGATGAGTGCCATGTGAAATTATTTACATCATAACTATGTGATCAAAATCAAACACTTCAAAGTGCAGAGCCTCAAGTTATTAACATGTGCACTTGTTAGTGAACACTGTTTGTATTTACCATTATTACTAATCTAACTGATTTCTGGAAGTAAGTTGCAGAGAACAAACAAGTATTTGGTAAACTGCACAAACACGCATGGATTGGTAAAGGATGTAAGATTACGCAGTAGTTTATTTTGACATATTTGTTATGTGCTTATACTTCATATGTAAGAAAATGTGTACCTTACATTAGTATGCATTTGTTTCTGTAAGTTTCACAATCCAGTGCATATTGTTTTTTAAATTTGTCATGTAGAAATGTTAAAATGCAATCATATCATTTTGTTTATCTGAGGAGGAAAATACTGTCGACCAACATTTTTCACTCTTGGCCACTTTGTAATGTTCCCATCCGTAACATATACATACAAATCTGTGCTTACAATATCTGTGTGTGTATAAATTAGTTTCAAGTCAGGGGTGGCACGCATAAGAGATTTGGGGAATCTTAGCCTTCCGAAATCGACCATCCCTCACAGGGCATAATTCTTACCAACTCAAAAATACTATACTGTATCTTGTGGAGAGAGAGAGAGAGATTGAAAGAGGTGTATGTGAGTCACTGAGAATAGTTTATTCATTTAGGAGCATAAACTGATTCTTCTCAACTGTGAAACCCCTCCCCACATGTGACAGAATAGCTTACCCAAACAAGACTCACTCATTGCCTGTGTTTTAAATGCTTTAATGAACAATATATTGATGGTATTAACATTAGTTAAGTTAGCTTTTAATTATTTTTCTGGTGAGTGTTTTTCATCAAACATAAACTTTTGTTCAGTTGGACATTTTACCTGTAGACTTCAGGATAGTAGATAAAAAAAATGTTAATAAACTTTTCAAGTTTTATCAAAATAATTACTTTATAAAGAAGTTAATAGATTTATCATCAAATCTTTATCAAATAAAGTACGTTATTTCTCTTGTGTAGCTTTTTCTCCACAACATGTCTACAAACAAGGAACTTAGTTTGTTTATTATTTTTTATAATTTCAGTATTTCTATATGATAGTTAGTGTTTAATGACAGACCCTTTGTGTTAGAGATTAGAATTTAGATACGTGTAATATTTTACTTTATTTACAGGATATCGACAAAGCTGTAGATGCTAGAAAGAAGTTACAGTTTCATAGGTCAGCACATTTTAAAAGATGACATCTCTAATAGATGTAAGTCTGTGTTTGTTATTCTTTGGAACTCCTAATATTATTTTCTATATTGTTGTTAACTTATACATGCCATTTTTGTTTTCTACGCATCTAAAAATGTTGTTGTAAGAAAATTTCACTCATAGGTAAATCAACTCTAATAATTTTTCATTAACAGTTATCAAGTGAGTGAAGTAACAGTGCATTTCTGAGCATCATATTCTTATATAAAGCATTGGAACTACATCAGTTAATAAATATTGAACCTCTCATCATGTACAACCTTCAGATGATGAAGATGACATTGAAGCTCACGGTTATCATGTTCCCTTTTTTTTAGATAAAGTACTAAAATTTAGTTATATTTTTACCTGGGATAATAGGGCTGGAACTTTCTGTCATTATGTTCTTTCTTCAGTTAATAACTGTAATACTTACTGTTTTTCTGGGTATTCAAGTGTACTACATGTTTCCTACAGTTTTGTTTAATATACATTTTTTAAAACTTTTCTCTACATATTATTCATGTAGTCTTAATTTAAAATGTCTGTCAACTAGTGTTTTTAAGAAAAATTCCTTTAAAGTAAACCATATTATATTTCTATACAGTAATATTTTTCCTGAGAAGAATGGCAGTGTTGTTTTTCATATATAATACCATGTTTTTTCAGTCTGGAACATCAATAACGAAACGAGTTATGATTAAATTCTGCTACAGATAGTTTTGATATTTGAGCTCTCCAGTAAAGGCACCTAAATGATATACTTGTTTTTGTCTTTGATTGTCTCTTAAATGTCTGAGATAAAGATAGTTTAACTTGAGGCCAGTCTCCAAGTTCAGTTGATAGTCAGAGAATTTAGATTTTTGCTCCACAATACATTTTCTGTTGAACCTCCTATTGTTCTGCGATTTCTTCCCAGTTACTCAAAGGAAAACTGGTAAAATACCACATTTCATTGTGTCCTCTAAGTTATTAGTATTGATATTAAGTGGTGGATTAAATGAAAACTGGTAAAATATCATATTTCATTGTGTCCTCTAAGTTATTAGTATTGATATTAAGTGGTGGATTAAATGAAAACTGGTAAAATATCATATTTCATTGTGTCCTCTAAGTTATTAGTATTGATATTAAGTGGTGGATTAAATGAAAACTGGTAAAATACCACATTTCATAGTGTCCTCTAAGTTATTAGTTTGATACTAGGTGGTGGATTAAATGAAAACTGGTAAAATACCATAGTTAATTGTGTTCTCTAAGTTATTAGTATTGATACTAGGTGGTGGATTAACCCTTTCAAGACAGGTCACGGGTGAAAGGCCACGTCATCTTCTTTGTTGACTCGCATTCAAAATGTTATTGAACTACTATTTCGTGAATTTATGTCAGTAAATTTGGTATCAAACTGTAAAATATGATTCAAATTTTAGTACTATATGCTACTCAATTTTTTAATTTAAAAGCAAATATTAAAAAACAGATAAACATTGATTTTTTTGTGTGTCATGTGGTATGTTGAATGCAGCACTGGTTCAAAAACTAGATGTTCGTGAAGCCAAAATACTAAGTCTATTGTGTCAAACGAATTAGAAACTCAAATTACTGATATTGACAACCTAGAATTTAAAATAAGAAGGTCTTATTTTTTCTATTTGCTAAGATATTGCTCATGTAATAAACCAAACACAGTAACACCCCACCCACCTCTTTCCATTTTGGGAAACCCTCCCTTATATACACTTATTTCTATATAGGACAGGAATAACCAATCAGAAGCTCAGAATGTACCCCTAATGGTTTTCTCAGCCTTCTTAACGTACCTACTGCCATTTCTTTCTTTTAAACCAAGATTGAAGGTAGGTAATGTCTTCAGTTTGTTCGAAATTTCATATTTTTTTAGACTAAAATACATCTTAGTTATTAAAGCTTTACAAATTATAGTGGAATTCTAAAGTATTAATGTAGTAATTTATGTTTTTTAGTTATTCAAATGTATATATAAAAAATATTTTGTTTCATATCTTCCACGTGCAATTTTTTAAAGGCTCAGCAACCTACATCAAGCAGCAACCGAGTACAAAGCTCGTAACTAGAAGAGATAATCGTTTGCTTTACTTCTTTAGTTACTGTTCTATGTTTTAAGAAAAATAAGTTTAAGAACTTATTTCAAAATAGCAATAATCTATATACATATACAATGTATAATAATTGAAATTTGACTGTCTTTTACAAAATACTAGTCTACTAAAACACAGCGAAGAAAATTTACTTTGCACAGACTAAAGGTCAGTTTTATGTTATTTGATACGGTAACATGAGTGCACGTGAGCCGCATCATTGTAACTTCTGTATTGTCAGCCAGGCATGGCTGAAAGGTCAACATAATAAAAATAAAAAGTATATATAAATGTCTAATGTTATGAGATTTAAGCTATTTAGTCTAAACATTTATGTTTTTGTGTAATAATTTGTGTTCATTCTAGAATGAAAAAGGCATAACTTATATTTATTTCTTAATTTTTTATGGTGGTTGTGAGATTGATCAAATCTACTGAATCTGTACAGAGATTAATTACTGAAAATAACATAAAAATATAAAGTTTTTTCTTGAGAAATGTTTGATAACATACAGATAAAATATAACATTTTTTTCTTAAGAAACGTTTGATAACTATCTTGACATTATAAAGTTTTCGCATGTGAAATTTCAAAATTTTCTGATGCATAAAAGTATTTATAATCTTAGAATGAACATTACTTTGCATGATAGATAGGCAACATGCGAAAAGAAAAAATAGACGTGAGAAAACTTTGCTTTATAAACCTTAAGACTTAATCAAAAAATTTGGTATTTTGCATATGAAAGCATTGTAAGGTTTACTGATAATCTGCCAAATTTCGTTAACATTTGCTTATTAATTTAACAGTTATAGCATGACAACTATAACAAACACAAAATGATTACGAGGTCGGTCACAGGGACCAAGCCCATGCTGAAAGAGTTAACTGAAAACTGGTAAAATTCCACATTTTATCATGTTCTCTAAATTATTAGTATTGATATTAGGTGGTGGATTAAATGTTTTTCGTTGTTGTTTTTTTGTTAAAGTAAAACTGAGTCTAGAACTTTATGCTCAATTCTGTAAGCTTCTTTGGAATAAGACAACTATATTTTCAGATTACGTAACCTTCTAGTTCCCAGACCTCTTTGAGAAGTCGGGAATCTTAATAATCAGATGACTGATCAGTAATGAAATAGAATTACTTTGGTTACATCCTAGCATTCCTCCTCCTGTAAAATTCTTAACACAGATTTCATACCATAATGTTTGTGTGAAAACTATTTTTCTAGGTACATCATTTTCTTCAGAAAGAGTTTGGAGGTTATTGTAATATATCAGTGAACTTGGGTCATTTGATATTTATAACTATTTCTTGAGCTGTGCAGTTTGGTAACTACACACTTAATTTTCACTTAAAGTCTAAAGTAGCCCATGAGCTCAGAATGAGTTTTCAGCATAAATAACAGTAACTTGTAATAAAAACAAAAACTGATATTTGATCTGTTCAGCTTGGTAGCTTCATCATTTAATTTTTTATTTAAAGTCACAATAATTCCATTATTCCTGTGTCCAATGAGAATATTTTTAGGGCTATGTGCTAGACTCTGGATATTGAATCATTCTGTGACTTTGTCTTTCAACTTATTTAATCATTACATAAACTTAGAAACAAATGCATCACTTTAAGACATATTTAGAACACTGACAAAGAGCTGAATAAGACAACTAAGTTTCATGGTGAAAATAAATAAAATGAACCTGTTAAAAAAACTTGAAACTTGTTAATAGATACAAGAAGATTTCAAGCTGAGAACCTACTTCAAGATAACTGTATTCATACCACCCTCAAAGGTGTTTAATCAAGAAGTGACAGAATATCTGAAGCGTCAATCTGACTTCATGTATGTGCATGGATATATATTTAGTTTTCTTTCTACATGAGTATGTAATAACTTCTATCAGAAGAGCTGATAATTATTGTGGTCCTGTGTTTGAACCAGATCAAATCCATTGCAATACCACAAGGTATCCCCTGTTCTTTAAGCTGTGGGTGTGTTATAAGAGTAACAGTTAATCCCTTAGCACAGGTGGTGGGAGAAGTAGGTGCTATTACCTTCTCTCTGATCAGCAGCTCAAAATCAATGATGGTGGCTGATAGCTTTAGTACCTTTGCCATAAATACAAAAGACTGTTAATAATCATTTTTCTTTGAGTAAAAGTTTGATTTACATTTAAAGTGAGTAACTTATAAATGACTACTTTATAGCCTGTATAAAGTCCATTTTGTAAACATAAGCAATTTCCACATCCTCACCTGCATTTTGTACAATGTGTAATTCGATTTTTTTCTTGTAAGTTTAGCCACTTATAAATTTACTCAAATATTGATGTGGTGCATCTCCAGTCATATTTAATGATGATGTAAGACTGAAAAATAAAGAAATGTACATAAATATTTGTACGACTCATTTTTTTTGCTGTTTTTTTTTTCAATCATGTGATATATACACGTCACAACTGTTATACTAGATATAGTTTCAGCATAAGTAACGTAAGGATCAACTTTTAGAATGTCAGTATGAATGTCGGAATATTTCAATAAAACTACTTTTGGGCTAGCATAACGTTATACTTATTTCTGGCTATCTTCATGAATGAACCTGAAGGCTTGTTACAAATAACTATAATGTAAATTTAATCTGGAGGTATAATTGTAATGAATTTCCATAGCCTAGTAAATTTTATCTGTAACCCATAATGGGGTTGCTAATAATGTTGTGTTAGCAAGTATCTAAGTCCAATGCTAAATGAAATTTTGAAGCACTGTTTAGCATAAAAAGCTTTAGTATTTGGTGAGATATAGTACTTTTTCTATCAAAATGGTTTAAGATGATACAAGTTCATCTAATTTTATAAAACTTACAGACTGCAACTCTTTGAGGAAAATAAAACATTGCCTTAAAGAGTATAAAAAATGTAGATAACAACATTATAATTTTTTTTAATTACCTCTGAACTTCATTAAGCATATTCTTGGAGTTTCTCATAACTTATTCTAGACAAGAAGCCTCTTGCACAATTGATTCTCTTGTGTAGTATTACTGAAGTATCTTGCTTCCTTCCTGTATGCTCGATTCTCTTTAGAAATATAACTGAAGTATCTTGCTTCATAATTGTATGTGTTACTGTTGCAAATTTGGTTTCTTCAGGGTATTTGTTATGACACCACTAAGTGAACGATTAACAGCTTTGATTTCTTTAGGGTATTTGTTATGACACCACTAAGTGAACGATTAACAGCTTTGATTTCTTTAGGGTATTTGTTATGACCGTATTGCTTAGTGAGATTAATAATGGCTACCATGATGTCTTGGTTGGCTGTTTTTTCTTTGTTACCTGTGGATTATCGAATATTATATACGTTTGAAAATGTCCGTTTTATATGCTGATTTATTATGTTTATGCAAACCAATTTCAGTCATTAAACAACAAGGTTCCAAACTCAGAATCTTACGCAACCTCTTTAGTGGCTGTAATAAAATTATACAGTTGTTTTATTATACTTATGCAGTAATTTTTCAGAAACAATGCAGAAAATAGAGTTAAGAATTTTACAGAAAATTCATTATGTAAAATAAGAAATAATAACGTTTGATGCTAATATAAACTGGAGAAATAGATCATTTAATTGTATATATATATATACATATATTTAAGTAAAATTCGTTTTAATTTTATTGTACAGTAACATAAACAAACCATTCAATTTTATTAAGTTTAACTTTTGTCACTACTTTTTAACATGAAAATGTATTTAGTATTTTTGTATGGCCACCGTAGAATTACAACAACAAAAAGTGGATTAATTTTAAAGATTAAGAGTTATTACAAGGAAATTGGTATGATAATTTACCAATGAATATCAATTAAAGAAAAAATCTAGTGATATTAAAACTTTTAAAAGCTTACATAATTAAGTGTTTAGATCTATACATTACGTTACTTCTTATTCCTCTTTATTAGAAATTAATAAATAAACTTTTGTTTTATTTTTGAATGAACGTTATTAACACAAAAAAATCATTTACTTTTCTCTTACAAACAATATTAATTTCTCAAAAAATATTATTATTTTGGAATCTCGATAGATGGCGAAGGTGACAAAACTCTCGTTTATTTATCCAAACAAATATGTACAGAGGAAATCTAAAAACGTTTCTAACAAAATAATCCTAAGGTTATTTTACTATCGCAAACACAGATGTAAGAAGGGTATTTGATTTTTTAAAAAGCCTGAAAACTAAGCTCGGGTGATCTAATCAGTCACAGCGGTAAATATACGAACCTATAATGCTAAAATCCGGGATTTGATTCCTCGAAGTGTATTTGTAACTAAAATAGCAGTTTTATAAGCGTACTGATTCTAATTTCTAAAATAAAAACATCAAAAACAATGTATAAATCCTCATCAAACAACGTTTTTACCATTTCAATATCGAATAAAGAAACCTCATTTTCTGTTTATTCTTGTTCGAAAGAGCAGAGATGCTTCGATGAGGTTCTTGTGCTTCTCCTATACAGTGGCTCAGCGGTAAGTCTAAGAGCTCCTATCGCTAAAAACCGAGTTTCAAAATCCGTGGTGGGCACAGCATAGATAACCCATTCTGTAGCTTGATGCTTAACAACGAAACATAAAAGAAAAAATAAGACATTCTTGTATTTACACAAACAAATAAATTTCAACATGATCTTTATTTATCAATCTACCTATACGTTAACATGTGTATATAAACAGATACTTCATGCATAAACCTTCACACAATTTACACATTTTGATGAGGACAAGAAAAATTCACAATTTACGTATGCCTTAACTTTATTCTAATGAAGCTGTATTTCTAACATGTAAAATTAGCCATACTATGTATGTTTTGGATAAGTTTGTTTGTTTGTAGTTAAGCAGAAAGCTACGCAATAGGCTATCTGTGCTGTACCCACCACGGCTATCGAAACTCGGTTTTTAAGTTCACAGTCGTACTGCTAAGCCATTAGGGGACGTTTTTGATAAGATCTGTGTTCAATTCTTCAACAATTTCAATTAGAATAAAATACTAATAAACATGTAGCTAAATAGTACAGTCTTAGACATCTTGAAGAAGTTCTGTGTTTTATTATTATCCACGAAAGCAAAATTGTGGCTTCATAAGTTCAACACGCTCTTAGATTAACTTAGATAATCATCAACAAACCTACGTAATTAATTATTCATAATATTTCAAAGCACTCACCTTTTGCACATGTTTATCCAGAGATGGCGCTTAAGGTCATCGTGGTATATAATAAATGTTTAGTTTATGTTTGACTGAGTTTCGCTAAGCATTACAGGAATGGGCAGCATTGCTAACGTTGGGCACCATGACAAAATACAAAGTTTTTGTTACTAGGCCAGACATATCGAAGGAAGTGAACGAAATGTTGAGGAAGGTTTGTGATGTTGAATTTTATAAAGAACCCAAAGCGATACCACGTGAGGCGCTTATTAGGGGAGTTCAGGGAAAGGATATTATTTACTGTTTATCAACAGATAAAATCGACAGTGAAGTGCTTGATGCAGCTGGACAACAACTCAAAGTAATCGCGACCAATTCTGTCGGGTACGACCATATTGATATTAATGAATGCAAGAAACGAATCATCCTAGTCAGTAATACACCAGAGATACCGACTGATAGCGTTGCCGAATTAACAGTAGCCCTTATGCTGATAACTGGAAGACGTCTTTTTGAGGCTGCCAACACTATAAAAAACGGAGAGTGGGTACAAACATGGACTCCCGAATGGTTGTGTGGTGTGGGGCTTAAAAATACCACTGTGGGAATCGTGGGCATGGGAAAAATTGGCCAGGCTGTCGTCGAAAGAATTCTATCATTTAAGGTCAAGAAAATTGTATACTACGACATACACTACCCTGTTGAGGCTGCAGAAAGTATGGGAGCCCGCTATGTTGAATTTGAAGATCTGCTGAGGATGTCAGACTTTGTTGTTTCTTTGTGCAGTCTGACAGACAAAACAACAGAATTGTTTACTGCTAAACAGTTTAACATGATGAAAACTACTGCTATATTTGTCAACACGAGCAGAGGAAAAGTCGTCAAACACGATGATTTATATCATGCCTTAAAAAATGGAAATATTCGTGCTGCTGGCTTGGACGTAATGGTTCCTGAACCTCTACCGAAAGATCACAAACTCACCACTCTCCCAAACTTGGTTCTTCTTCCCCACATAGGAACTGCAGAAATAACAGTGAGACAAGATATGGCTAAACTGGCGGCAAGAAACGTCTTGTCATATTGCGATGGGAAAGGTTTGATAACACCAATTCCAGAGTTTAAAAATGTTCAACACAAGATGGACCAGAAAAAGAAAAAAAACTCGCTCCAGACTTTTACGTCAAGTTTATATGGATGAATATAAACGACGGACATTTCGTAAATCCTTTAACTTCTTTCCTAATAAATAAATATTGTTTCTTATTTGTATAGTTACGTGCATTTTTAACGGTAGAGATGAATAAGGTTTTTTGCTTTGTTTTCTGTATAAATAAGATTAACTCTCTAAATAAGTATTGATTTTGTTACTGTTTTTCTTATAAGTAGTCCGTTATAAGATGATTTTATGTCTTTTATACCAAGAATTGAATAAATAAAAATATATATTTTCATCTAGATAGCGTAATTTGATTGGTTGTACAGGTAAAAAGTAATAATTTACCACAAATATTATTAGGAGTGATGGTTAATTTTACTGTGCAAGAAATTTCATGTTAGAAATAAAAACAATTAGCTAACGTGTGTTATAGAAATATTACAAAAAATGCTAGACGTTACTAGTTTGGTATAAATAACTTCATATTTAAGAATTTTTGATGAAACAATTAAACGTAATACTCCTATAAACATGTTCACTCGTAACTTTCAGCTTTTTTCATTAATAAATCGGAGAGTAATTTAGGAAAATGCAGCGAAATATTTTAATAACAGAATATGTTTAATCCAACTTTCTGCACATTTATCTTGGAATACTATCCAAAAATATAGCTAAAAAGTACGGGCCGAGTGCTACCTAGTGGTTAGCGTATCGGACTGTTAATCTGTGGCTTCGTTCTTCGCGCCTCGATTTCGCTCCTAAAAAAATCGTGCTCAGCACGTTGGTACCGAGCAAGCTCGCAGACAGAAGGTGGGGGCAACTGTCCTGGGGCCCGGGCGGATGAAATAGATTCGTCTTTTATTTGAAATGAATATTTGCATAAAAAATAAGTACCTATTTCCTGCTGTTATTAGTAGGATAAAAAAGGTGGGTCTATTATAGGGGGCCATTGAGTACGTTATAAGAGTGACAGTCAAATCCCACTATTCGATTAGAGTAGCCTAATTGACGGTGA